AAAAAATGTATGTATGCATACAAGTCCTTTTGAAGACTAGGCAGGCCTTTTTCCAGTTTCATGACCCAGGAAAGTCATTTGCTTTGAAATGTAAAATCAAGGGAGAAAGTACTTTTTGGGAAAAGGTAGGAACCTAGTTTCAGTGGGGACCTTGCTGTAAGCTGTAAAGCTACTTCTTGTCATGAGAACTGAGAATACCTTTCCATCTCTGGGTAAAGCCAATTGGCTAACACAGATGGTCGCTCCAATCTCTAGGTCAAGTTAAAATGAACTATGTTCTATAAATGATGTTGTAAATTCTATTCGAGGACTATTTACTGTTTATCTTAAAAACACTGATATAATGGGTTGTATGTTTGGCTATATAAAAGGGAGACATTTCTTTCTGTCTTTGCAATCAATCTCTTCTTGATGGATTGCCCAAGGTGTACATCACATTCTGGTTTAATGCTTGTTAAATTTAAAAACTTTTCTTTCTCTTATACTCTTGGGGAGAGATTTTTCTGGGTTGTCAGAAAATTTTGTTTTTAGATTATATTTATGCAACAACAGTAGCCTCATGCTTTAAATACAAGGGTGTTATTGTCAAAAATCCAAAGAGGAGAATATAACATGAAATTATGGCCAATGCTGATTTTGGGCCTAGAAATCTCTACAGTGGGTTATAAAGACATATTTGTTAAACTTTATAGGTCATTTTTATTCAACACTCAAAGATCATTATCAGCACTCTTGTTGTAAAACAAAACCTATAGAGATTTTGAAATAAAAGTTAAATTGACTTTAAGTACTCTGATACTAAATTGCCAATAATTGGACATCCTACATTTGGTTATCTATGTCTTCCTGTTATCATTTTATAGGCTGAAAATAAATATCAAGCATTCAGATTGCTTTGCACTTCAAAACTTAAAGGAGCTAAGATTCATATTCCAATTCTTCTGTTTTTTGAATTAATATTCAAAGAAATTAAAATTTAAAATCTGCCTCACCCCATTACACATTTTGCTAAATCCCAGCTAGAAGAGTTCTAAGTGCTTCTGAACCATCTTGGATTTATCTCTGCCCTTGTGTTCTTGCTTTACACAAGAATGAAAACAGTATGATCAAGAATTTATATCATCAAGATCAGGCCTTTGATGTTCCCCACCTCAGAGCATTCAAGGATTTACAAACAAAGGATGACATGGCACTGGTCTCAGGGCCACCAAATTTTGTTTGATTTTGCCAGCAATGACTGTTATCTACTAAAACGACTTGGTTTTGTCTTGCCCTGAGAATCTCAAAGCACATGCTCTCTGTAGATTGGCAGATCCCAGAAGGGGAGAAAATGGGAAATGGGAATGAGATGTGTGAAAGTCAGGGAAGTCACCCTTGGGAGTCTCTTTGAGCACCTCTCTGAAATCAATTTCTAGTCTGAACGGTAAATCTTCATCTCTCTCCAGAAAGAGTAAATGAGAAGAAAAGAAGATAAAGTTAGTGTACTAAGGGATGTCCAGTCACCTTTGAAAGGGAACAGTCGGGAATAACTACTTTTCAATAGCTTTGCTAATAACAAATGGTCTTGGAGCAGTGTGATTTCCTAGAGTTGTTCTGTCCATCTTCACTTAAGTAATTTTTTTTTCATTTTACCAAAGCTGCATTTTATTTTTATTTTCCATCAGTGTTCTTGGTTTCATGCTGTATCTTTGTCTTCTTGAGATTTCTGACTGTGAGATAATTTCTTGGCTTCATGAGGTTATGAGTCCAGTCATTTCCTTCTCTGTCAATTAATTTGTTCAAACTTGTGAGAAATAATGGTCTCCTTACAAAATGACTTTTGTGTATGACTAGGCAAAATCTCAAGTCCTTTGATAGGTATTTTGTTCCACAGGCTTTTATTTCTTGGAGTAGGATTTTAAATCTCCTAAGACAGTTTATGCTCTCCTCGTGAGTGAGTGGAGTTAGAAACTGGCTGC